TTCAATGTTATCTAATAATGTTTTAGATATTATTTTTAATTATAATTCAGCTAGTGATACAAATTTACCGCAATTAGTTTATGATTATTGTATTAAATATTATAATAATTTAGAAAATTTATCTAAAAATGATTACGTAATTTCATCAATTCTAAACAAACCTATAGAAATGTATGATAAAGATTCACAATATCCTCATGTAAATATGGCTATAAGATTAAGGAAATTAGGTTTTAACTATCAGCAAAATGATGTGGTAAATTATGTGATAGGTGCTGGTTCAGGACCTGTATCTAGAAGAGGGTATCTTGTTAACGAAGACTTTGAAGTTGATTATGATTATTACATTAAGACACAATTAATACCACCTCTTTATAGAATTGTTGATTTAATTAAATCAATAAGGGTTGATAAAATATCTGCTATATTTGGAATCAGTACAATTAATATTCCTAAAGAAGTAAGTAAAATAAAATTTGTATTAGACTGTTGTGGTAGTTATGAAGTACCAACAGATAAATGTTCAAAGTGTGATAAAGAAGTGTCTGAAGAATTTTATAAAATAGCTGTTCAACGACTTTTACACCAGAAAGTTAATTATAAAGATCATTATGGTGAATGTTTAGTTTGTAACATAAAATATTCTAATATGGCTACCAGTTGTTTAAAGTGTGAGAAAAACTTATTTTTTAATTTCAAGAATAAAGAATTTGATACTCTTCTATCAAATATTCAAAATACGTTTTATGAAAATAAGATAATTAATGAAATATGTGATTTTTATAGTGAAAAATCAAGTTATAGAGTTATAAATTTAGGAGATTATTTTTCTAATGAATTTAAAAGAAAGTAAATAAAATCTATGTTAGTGTTTATTTGGGATAATTTACAGAGAAGATAATGTCTCTAGGATTAACTTCACTTCTTTTTCTTTCAGATGTGCCATTTAAATAATATTCAAGATTTCTAGTTACTGGATCATTAGGAATACTTCCTAAATATTTAGCTTCTTTAATAAATATAGAGGCATCTAGTGATTTCATTTCTTTCTTTAGTTTCTCATTATCTCTAAACAATTCTATTAATTCAGTTTTTTGTTTCTTCATTTCTATTAATTCATTTTTTTGTTTTCTCATTGTAATTAAATATTTTATAAAAAATGTTACAATAAACCATCAAGATAATACAAACTTTAAATTGTTTTCTAAAAAAATCACCTGTTATAGAAAATGATAATATTAAATGTGGTTTTTAAAATTATTCAGTTAAAGAATATATTAAAGATATTATTATTATAGAATTTGTATGTATTAAATCAAGAAAGAGATATTTTGAATCTATTGAGGGATGAAATTAAAGTTTTTCAAAAGAAAAAGGGGTATTCCTCCTCATGGGGCCCCAAACATAGTTTGGGGCCCCATGAGGAGGAATACAAGAATTTTTCGATTTGGGGCCCAATTGGGGCCATATAATATTTTTAAGGGTACCGTTTCGATAGGCGCCCCAAATTTTATATATATAAATTCTAATAAAATTTTTAATAAAATTTTATTAGTATATAAACCTTTTGATTTATGAAACATTGATGTGGATTTTTATGGAGGAAGAATCTTTTGAAAAATTTAAAAATAAGAAAAAAAAGGATAATTAATAAACTTTATTAATAAAATTTTAAAAATATATAATTCTTTTGATTTATGAAATATTGATGTGTATTTTGGTGGAGGAAGAATCTTTTGAAAAAATTAAAAATAACACAAAAAGGTAATTAATAAAATTCTTTATTATTTTTTATTTATTCAACAACCCCTACCCCCTACTCCTAAAGGGGTAGGGGGTAGGGGTTGTTGA